GTTGAGAATGCCTGATCTAGGTGATTAAACCTGAGAGTGACCAGTAGACTAACATACAGTCAGGTCCATAAATATTGGGACATCGACACAATTCTAACATTTTTGGCTCTATACACCACCACAATGGATTTGAAATGAAACAAACAAGATGTGCTTTAACTGCAGACTGTCAGCTTTAATTTGAGGGTATTTACATCCAAATCAGGTGAACGGTGTAGGAATTACAACAGTTTGCATATGTGCCTCCCGCTTGTTAAGGGACCATAAGTAATGGGACAATTGGCTTCTCAACTGTTCCATAGCCAGGTGTGTGTTATTCCCTCATTATCCCAATTACAATGAGCAGATAAAAGGTCCAGAGTTCATTTCAAGTGTGCTATTTGTATTTGGAATCTGTTGCTGTCAACTCTCAAGATGAGATCCAAAGAGCTGTCACTATCAGTGAAGCAAGCCATCATTAGGCTGAAAAAACAAAACAAACCCATCAGAGAGATAGCAAAAACATTAGGCGTGGCCAAAACAACTGTTTGAAACATTCTTAAAAAGAAGGAACGCCAGCCTCTTGCAACTTCCTATAAAGTAGTATTCAGGCTGGGGGAGCTAAAGACAGGACTGTGAGCCTATCAGTTGTCCCGAATCCAAATGTGCTGCCAAGGAACATGCAAATAGGAGGCGAGAGCAGAATGAGCAGAGAAGTGACCCTATCAGTTTCCTCGGGGTTGGTCCTTCATCATCCAATTAGCAGTCTGAGGGTGGAGAAAGGGTACCATCTTAACTCTTCTACAGACTGGCTGTAGAAGGCTGTGCTTTGCAAGGGAGCTGCGTAATCTCAGGATGGCTGGACAGCAATTATAAATCCTTGGTACTGGAAAACATCTCCCATGTACTTGTTTCGTTTGCTTGCTCAGTTGTTTGCCTGGAGTTAAAGCGGAGTTCCAGCCGTTTTTGTGTTTATTAACCTCTTGGCACTGGCGCCTCCCGGCCCTTTAAGAGTTTCAGAAGCCGGGAGGAGGGGCGGGGTTTTCGCCATCACGGCGGTCACATGATCGGAAAAGGTCCCAATCGAAAGGGGAGATCGGGACCTTTCCGGGAGTAGCGTACATATGTGCTGGGAGCGTGCAGGGCGCGCATTCTCAGCACATATGTATTTTTTAATTGCATGCAAATATGCAGCCGCTTGGCGACAAGGCCCAGATGCCTAGAGGCCGCATATTTGCGTGCGATCGACTTCAAGAGGTTAAAAGGCAGCAGATAAAGTTTTTGTATCTGCTGACTTTTAATAAACATACACTTACCTGTCCTAGGGTCCGGCGATGTGCTCACCCGCGCTGTCCCTTCTCTCCTTCTCTCCTCCACAACACTGACATCTCTACTGTGGGCACCAGGCTGTGACAGCTTGCGGCTTCACAGCCTGGTGCCCACTGCGCATGTGCGAGTCACACCGTGCCTCCTGATTGGTTCAGCAGTCTCCTGGGACCTTTGAAAGTTCCCAGGAGACTGCGGGAGCAAGGAGGGGGCCAAACTTCTGGGTCGCTTCGCCTGTCAAAACCAGGTACCCGCTTGCCCCCCAAAAGCTGCCTAATATGGCAGTGGAGGGGGGGGGAGGAAATCAAGCGGAGCTTCCACTTTTGAGGTTTAAACAGTTTGAATATATTCAGTGATTCCTAATTATAAGTCCACTGAAATGATTCATTCTTTTTTTTTTTTAGTCTGCCACTGAACCCAAAAGATGTCTTTTAGGTATCTTATTTCTGGCTTTTATTACAGGTTTACCCCATTCCTCATTATATCTAGTCTTGTGTTCACTGCCAAACATATTCTAAATGTGTTTGACTGAATGGGGTTGATTTGCAACAGGCAAATAGACTGTTGACTTTGCAAGGGAATTTTTTCCCACAGCTTAATCTCCCTAGCGGTCTGATTATGTCCATATTTCTGTGCTGAAAGCGGTACATTTTTTTGCATGGAAATATGTAGTTTTTTTATTGTAGGCTGTAGTTTTTAGGAATAACTCACTGAAATCTGTCCGAACAAGAGTCTAGTAAACATCCCGGGTAGGATAAAACATGAAACACGAAATCATATTATAATTTAATAAATAATCATAAAAAAGAATAATATAATAATAAATTTAATTCAATAATATAATCAAACCAAAAACACTGAAATTTGAAATATAGCGCCAAGTTCGCACATCACTGAGCAAAGTCGCGGAATCGTTTTCAGTGTCTGATGATGAATTTCCCCCACGAATCATTATCACTCAATTCTGCAAGTGGTTCTGATTTACTATCGCTGTTCTCTAGCCGGTCTAAAACCGCTTTTGACCTAAAGGGACACTTTTTGGACACCATGGACTTTTCTAAGTTTCCAGGCAGAAAGAACAGTAAAAATGCAGGCAGGGCGCCGGACAAAGCACTCGGGACAAAATGTATGTGAAATGGTTTGATACAGTAATGTTTAACAATATTATTTTAGTTTATTAGAAAATTAAATTTTTTTAAATTTTTCAATTTGCCGCCAGTTCCGGCCCCGTACGTCCCGACGCTCGCAGGGACCGGAACGCGGAAGCCGGATGCCGGCATCGGCCGGAGGAGATGGCCGGGGACACTGCAGGGGACACATCGCGGGGAGCGAAGGACAAGGTAAGCGCTGCAGGGAAAACCTGAGCAACGCCGCATGGTAAGCCCAAGTGTAGCTCGGGGTTACTGCTTGTGGTACTGAAACTTTACCCTGAGCTACACTCGGGAATACCACCAGGGGGTTAAAGCAGAGGATCTAATGAAAGAATGGGATTGTGATTTAAGAGGATGGGGCTGTATTGTGAAGTATCTGAGTTATCACATCACACAAACATCCGATTCATATCTCGGTTGGAAGAAAATGTTACTGATCGGATCTCTGTGAATTTTAATTCAGTGCCCCTGCTTTAGATTGTACAGCGCTGCACAAGCTGTTGGCAATATAGAAGTCCTGCCTTACCCTAGGTTCACACCTAAGCGTTTTCTGCAGCGTTTTGCTTTTTGCAGAAAGAGTACAGTTCATTTAACATGATTTCCTATGGGACAGGTACACATCTCCACGTTTTCACCTGGTGCATTTTTTGAAAAGGGTCAGGGACTTTATTTAATGTAAAAAGATGTGTTTTTGTTTCTATAGACTTCAATGGAAACACTGCAGAAAAGCATGTATTGTGTTTATGATGTATTTTTTATTTTAAAACTGCCTAGCAACAAGAAAAAGAAAAAAAAAAACGCAAAACGTGTCAAAAATGCATCAAAAAACGCAACACAAAACAGCAACGGCACAAACGCAACCTGCATAGGTGTGAACCTAGCCTTATAATATTAATACTACTAATAGACCAAATGCCGGTGTCTATAGTGCAGGCTCTCTGTGAGTCTGGCCAATATATTGCCAAAATTAGGATGAGGACCTTGAGAGCTTTCATTTCCCCTTAATTTTGCTAAACAAAAATGAGAAGTTTCCAAGATTTTGCCACTTTGGTGCAATGTATTGAGAAGGGAAAATTAAGGTGGTTTTGGCGGTTCTTAAAGGTCCTTTTAATGGAAAGTTAAAAACAGACAGTCATAAAAGTACAATACCTGCTACCTGTGACCGTGCACCAAAAAAAAAGTAGATTTTTTATGACTAATGCACCATAGATAGGCTTGTCCACTCCTACTTCCACCATTTCCGATCCATACCACTCCCCACCCCTTAACCAATTAAACTTTACAAAAAACATGACACCATTTGGAGTAAAATGGCCAACATGGCCTTTTATTAACAACTTCACATTTTAAATACATCAACCATTCCTTATAACAGAAACCAAAGAGTTGTTGTTGGTCTTTGAAGGCACCCCCAAACGATCCAAAATGCACCTGCGGACAACCCTATACACTAGGCCTCCAGCCGCAACCAACCAGCTCGGAGACAACCATAGCGTCCGCAGTGCAGCACCACCACCTTCCAGTTAAACCTTGGTTAACTGCGAATGTCCACCGGGCACCCCATACCACCGATGGGTCCCACACCATTGTTTTACCTTCCAAGATGAGAACCGCCTCCAAAGACCAACAACCGCCCGCGAACCAACATAACACCCCCCTTTTTTTTTTCTTTCCTTCCCCCGGGAGGGACCTGATACCCAACAAAAACAGGGAGGGCGGGAGGGAAGCTCTGGTCCTTCCTCACATCCAGCTCCACTGACGCCCCCTCCACAGAACCCCCCACCCTAAGGTGCCACAGACCCCTCCTACACTCCACCTCTGCCAACCAGATAACCCCACAATCAAATCCCAACCCCCTGGAGCTAACTTTAACCCTTTCCGCTCCCCTTCACCACTCTGGGCCTAGTCATGCATGCCCTGCGCTATTTTCATTCTTCCTTCTCCGCTACGGGCATTTCTTTATTTGTGCAAGTATGGGTTTTCATGTCAGTAAAAATCAGTATTCAAGGTGAAATCAATTTTGATAAAATAACTATTGCTAAAAAACTGACTTTAATTTAAAAAAAATGCCAAAAAAAAAATTGTATTTTCATAATTGTAAGCAGTTAACATATTAGTTCCTATTATTATATTGTTAGTATATAATAATTGTATTTAGCATATGAATTCTTTTTTTAACCAATTTCCCGCCGCCCTATAGCAGATATACTGCTCCAGGGAGGCAGGGGTGCACAAAATGTTATATATATATATATATATATTAGATTGTCTCCCGTTATATTGTACAGTGCTGAGCAAACATTTGGCGCTATATAACTCCTGTATAAAAATGATATATATATATATATATACACAGACATGATTTTGCATATCCACGTAGGGGGTGAACACGAGCCGTGCGCACTCCCTACCCGCGCCACTATTTGTGGCCTTGGCTGTCAATCACTGGGTCCCGACCGGTGATTACTCGCAGGCACCTGGTGATTGCCGAGCATTACCAACGGGGGAGAGAACTGTATGTAAACAATACAGTTCTCTCCCCTGTCAGCTCCTGCACACTGCTTTGTATGGCTCTGCATAGCACAGCCATACAAAGCAGTGTGCTTACAGTTAAAAGCACACATACAGCCCCATAGTAAAACACAACACAGCACACAGTTAACCCTTTGATTGCCCCACATGTTAACCCTTTCCTGCCCAGTGACATTAGTACAGTGTCAATGCTTTTTATTAGCACTGATCACTGTATTGGTGTCACTGGGGATGTCAGTGACACCAAGTCAGTTCCCCCCAGTGTCAGAATGCCCGCCGCAGTCCCGTTAAAAGTCGCTGACCATTACTAGTAAAAAAAAAGTCAGTATATATACCGCCATTTGTAAACACTATAACTTTCACGTAAACCAATTAATTTACACGTATTGGGATTTTTTTTTTAGCAAAGACATGTCCCAGAATACATTTTGCCCTAAATTTATGAGGAAATTTGAGTTTTAAATTGATTTTACTGAATATGTTTAATAAGAAAGTCAAAAACTATTGTTTTTTTTTCTAAAAATTGTCGGTGTTTTTTTTTATAGCGCAAAAAAATAAAAACCTCACAGGTGATCAAATACCACCGAAAGAAAGCATTATTTGTGAGAGAAAAAGGACGTAAATTTAATTTCGGTGCAGCGTTGCATGACCGCACAATTGTCAGTTAACGCAGAGCAGTAATGCAGAAAATGGCCTGGTCAGGAAGGGGGGGGGGGGGGTTAAATCCTCTGGAGGGCAAGTGGTTGATTAACACGCTTTTAAAACTTTTCCCACATGTACCAGAAAACCAAAATGTCCTGCAAAAAATAAATAAATAAATAAAACACTGCTGGGGGTGCTTGAGCAGTTGCAGCAACAGTTTATTTCTTGATTAATATAGGAATGATGTGATGGAAGCGGACCCTCATCAGCATATCAGCTGCAATGCAAACAATTGTTGATTGTTCTACTAGTGACTCATGTGACAATATAGACTTTTTTCATTGATTTTTTTTCCCTTGAATATTGTTTTTTTCTTTAAACTTTCTTGAACTGCACCTGACATCTTTCTTTTAAACAAAAAAAAAAAAAAAAAAACCTAAACAGCTGAAAGAATTTCCCACGATCTTGTATAACATTTACAGCACCTTAGAAAATCCCAGCATGGCTGTTGCAGAATGACTCATTGGAGTTAGTACAGTAAAAGAGAAAATGAGACTGACCAATGGCTGTGATTTAAAGCTGAACTCCGGGCAAACAACTACAGCGCCTTGAAAAAGTATTCATACCCCTTGAAATTTTCCACATGTTGTCATGTTACAACAAAAAACGTAAATGTATTTTATTGGGATTTGATGTGATAGACCGACACAAAGTAGCACATCATTGTGAAGTGGAAGGAAAATGATAAATGGTTTTCAACATTTTTTACAAATAAATCTGTGAAAAGTGTGGCGGCATTTGTATTCGGCCCCCCGGAGCCAATACTTTGTAGGACCCCCTTTGGCTGCAATTCCAGCTGCAAGTCTTTTTGGGGATGTCTCTTTGCACATCTAGAGAGGGACATTTCTGCCCATTCTTCTTTGCAGAATAGTTTTGAACATTTTTTACAAATGAATATCTGAGTGTGGCGTGTATTTGTATTCAGCCCCATTTATTCTGATACCCCTAACTAAAATCTAGTGGAACCAATTGCCTTCAGAAGTCACCTAATTAGTAAATAGAGTCCACCTGTGTGTACTTTAATCTCAATATAAATACAGCTGTTCTGTGAAGCCCTCAGAGGTTTGTTAGAGAACAAAGCAGCATCATGAAGACCAACACACCAGACAGGTCAGGGATAAAGTTGTGGGGAAGTTTAAAGCAGGGTTAGGTTATAAAAAATCTCCCAAGCTTTGAACTTCTCACGAGCACTGTTCAATCCATCATCCGAAAATGGAAAGAGTACGGCACAACTGCAAACCTACCAAGACATGGCCGCCAAATAAACGGACAGGCCGGGCAAGGAGAGCATTAATCAGAGAAGCAGCCAAGAGGCCCATGGTAACTCCGGAGGAGCTGCAGAGATCCACAGCTCAGGTCCACAGGACAACTATTAGTCGTGCACTCCACAAATCTGGCCTTTATGGAAGAGTGGAAGAAGAAAGCCATTGTTGGAGGAAAGCCATAAGAAGTCCTGTTTGCAGTTTGTGAGAAGCCATGTGGGGGACACAGCAAACATGAGGAAGAAGGTGCTCTGCTCAGATGAGACCAAAATTGAACTTTTTGGCTTAAAAGCAAAACGCCATGTGTGGCGGAAAACTAACACTGCACATCACCCTGAGCACACCATCCCCACCGTGAAACATGGTGGTGGCAGCATCATGTTGTGGGAATGCTTTTCTTCAGCAGGGGCAGGGAAGCTGGTCAGAGTTGATGGGAAAATGGATGGAGCCAAATACAGGGCAACCTTAGAAGAAAACCTGTTAGAGTCTGCAAAAGACTTGAGACTGGGGCGGAGGTTCACCTTCCAGCAGGACAATGACCCGAAACATCCAGCCAGAGCTACAATGGAATGGTTTAGATCAAAGCATATTCATGTGTTAGAATGGCCCAGTCACAGTCCAGACCTAAATCCAATGGAGAATCTGTGGCAAGACTTGAACATTGCTGTTCACAGACGCTCTCCATCCAATCTGACAGAGCTTGAGCGATTCTGCAAAGAGGAAGAATGGGCAGAAATGTCCCTCTCTAGATGTGCAAAGCTGGAAGAGACATCCCCAAAAAGCTGGAATTGCAGAGAAAGGGGGGGTCCTACAAAGTATTGACTCCGGGGGGCTGAATACAAATGCCGCCACACTTTTCACAGATTTATTTGTAAAAGATGTTGAAAACCATTTATCATTTTCCTTCCACTTCACAATTATGTGCCACTTTGTGTTGGTCTATCACATCAAATCCCAATAAAAAACATTTACGTTCTTGGTTGTAACATGACAAAATGTCAAGGGGTATGAATACTTTTTCAAGGCACTGTAAATACACAGCATATACTGGAGCTGCCAAAGGGATTTGTATTCCTGCCCATCCAGTCGTGAGATTTACAGAGCCTTGCTACACAGCAAAAATCTCCCTGGCAGGTTAGGAAATCTAGTTTATTTCTGCTGAAGTTTCACTTTCACTTGCAAGTCTTCTCCTCACCTACACTCTGTGAATGGAGATGCTCACTTCTCAAGCACTCTGCTCTCTCTCTCTTATCAGCATGCTCCCTGTGCTTTTAAACACCTGATTGGTTCCTTGTATTTTCCCTTTTCCCTCTCTGAGTTCTGCTGTACTGGGCCTGCAAGAGGCTGATTCCAAGCAACATTACAGGTACCTACATGGTATGCATTTACAAAAATACAAGCATACAAAAATGTATACATTAAGTGATTAAAAGTCTGCATTGTTTGTGCCTTTTATATCTGCCTGCAGTTCAAACATTAAGAACCAGTAATGTAAATATGTGTAGTGGAGCCCATTGAAAAACTAAGTCCCTTCCCATCTAAAACACCTCCAATGATACCAATGATACATATATGCTGGGTAATCTAGGTTCACACCTATGCGTTTTCCACAGCATTTTGCAGAAACGCACTACAGTCCATTTCACATGATTTCTTATGGGACACATTCACATCTCCGCGTTTTCACCCGGTGCGTTTTTTGGAAAGGGTCAGGGACTTTTTTAATTGCAAAACATTGCATTGCAGAAAAGCATGTAGTGTGTTTTTTATGCGTTTTAGATGCGTTTTTAATCTGCCCAGCAACAAGTAAAAAAAAATGCAAAATGCATCAAAAATGTATGTGCAAAAACACAAAAATGCATTGCAGAAATGGATCAAAACACAAACTACGCCTAACAGCGTTTGCACAAAAGTCATGAATAATAACCATGCAAATGTTTTTAATACGTGCAAAACGATATTTTCAGATATGTATTTTGTCTTTCCAATGACAAATTTAACAATTCCCAATACTCTAACAACATTCAATCCTAGAGAAAATAGCCTAGGAACACCAAGCAGAAAAAAAAATTGCCTAAAACAATAGCCTATAGAAAAAAGCATAAAAAAAGGTTAAATGCATTTTTCCTAATTTTATCTTTTTTTTAAGTAGTTTTACTGCAAATAAAAAGCACAAATTTTATTCTATCATGTGTCCCATACAAAATAGAATTTTATTTAGGGGAAAAAAAGTGTTTTCTTTCTAAGTTTGCAGTTTCCTGTTTTGACACTGAAAAAAGTTACAAACAAAATAAAATCGTAAAAAAATAGAAATGTAAAAATACTGAAGAAAATTATTATCTAACAGGATAGGGGGAAGAAGTGAATTATTGCTGATTGGGGTTTATAAGGATTAATATGGAGTTAAATTGGAATACAATTGATTTTTTAAAAAAAGTAGCTTGCTTTGAAGTGATGTCATATGTAGATCAAAGATCACAACTTTCTTCCACAGATGAGTTAAATAGTAAATAAAATGAAATAGTACATTCATTCATTGTATTTACAGGACACTTGCAGGCTATCTACAAGTGTCATTTCACAAGCGGGAATCCACATTTTAACCACTTCAAGTCCGGCTACTTTCAACCCCTTCCAGTCCAGGCCAAATTTCAACTTTCAGCGCTGTCACACTTTCAATGACAATTGTGCGGTCATGCAACACTGTACCCTTTGTAAGCTTGAAAGAGCAGGGCCCTCGAACCCCTCGTGTATTGTATTGTTACTGTCTTGTCTCATGTTCTGTCCCCCTTGCTACTGTACAGCGCTGAGTATTTATATTTGGCGCTATATAAATACTGTATAATAATAATAATACCCAAATTAAATTTTTAGGATTTCTTTGAGACAGATAAAACTTTCTTTTGGTGGTATTTATTCACCACTGGGAATTTTATTTTTTGCTATATACAGTAAATGAAAGACCAAAAAGCTGACGGGAGAGATCTGTATTTTTTATACACAGGTCTCTCCCAGATTGGTAATACTCGGAGATCGCCGGGTGCTCTTGGGGAATTACCAGCCGGGGCCCGATGATTGACAGCCAAAGCTGTGAATGGCTGCGTGGGTAGGCGCAGTTCCCACTACCCAGGACTGAAATCTCTCTCTCTCTCTCTCTCTCTCTCTCTCTCTCTCTCTATCTCTCTCTCTCTCTCTATATATATATATATATATATATATTATATATTAGTGTGTGATTTTGTGCACCTGTGTCACCCTGTAGCAGTATTTCTTCTATAGGGCGGCGTGGAAGTGGTTAATAATCCTGCTCCACGGTTGACACACTTTTTTTTTTTTATATATATATATATATGAATTGTTTTATACACTCACTTGGCCACTTTTTTATACAACTAGGTAGTGCCAAGAAAATCTCC